ATAATGTGTAATGCAGAATGTCTTATACAGATGTATACTTTTACACGGTGGTAACCTCACAATGTGTAATACAGAATGCCTTATACAGATGTATACTTTTAGACAGTGGTAACCTCACAATGTGTAATACAGAATGCCTTATACAGATGTATACTTTTAGACAGAGGTACCCTCACAATGTGTAATACAGAATGTCTTATACAGATCTATACTGATTAGACAGAGGTATCCTCACAATGTGTAATGCAGAATGCCTTATACAGATGTATACTTTTAGACAGAGGTACCCTCACAATGTGTAATACAGAATGTCTTATACAGATGTATACTTTTACACGGTGGTATCCTCACAATGTGTAATGCAGAATGCCTTATACAGATATATACTTTTAGACAGAGGTACCCTCACAATGTGTAATGCAGAATGTCTTATACAGATGTGTAAATTTACCCGCTTGAATCCTCACAATGTGTAATGCAAATGTCTTATACAGATGTATACTGTTTAGACGGTGGAATCCTCACAATGTGTAATGCAGATTGTCTTATACAGATGTATACTTTTAGACGGTGGTATCCTCGCAATGTGTAATGCAGAATATCTTATACATACGTATACTGATTAGACAGAGGTACCCTCACAATGTGTAATGCAGAATGTCTTATACAGGTATATAAATTTACACGGTGGTATCCTCGCAATGTGTAATGCAGAATATCTTATACATACGTATACTGTTTAGACGGTGGTATCCTCGCAATGTGTAATGCAGAATATCTTATACATACGTATACTTGTAGACGGTGGTATCCTCGCAATGTGTAATGCAGAATATCTTATACATACGTATACTGTTTAGACGGTGGTATCCTCGCAATGTGTAATGCAGAATGTCTTATACAGATGTATACTGTTTAGGCGGTGGTATCCTCACAATGTGTAATGCAGAATGTCTTATACAGATGTATACTGTTTAAACATAGGTACCCTCATAATGTATAATGCAGAATGTCTTATACAGATGTATACTGTTTAAACAAAGGTTCCCTCACAATGTGTAATGCAGAATGTCTTATACAGATGTATACTGTTTAAACATAGGTACCCTCATAATGTGTAATGCAGAATGTCTTATACAGATGTATACTGTTTAGACGGTGGTATCCTCACAATGTGTAATGCAGAATGTCTTATACAGATGTATACTGTTTAAACATAGGTACCCTCATAATGTGTAATGCAGAATGTCTTATACAGATGTATACTGTTTAGACGGTCGTATCCTCGCAATGTGTAATGCAGAATGTCTTATACAGATGTATACTGTTTAGACGGTGGTATCCTCATAATGTGTAATGCAGAATGTCTTATACAGATGTATACTGTTTAAACAAAGGTTCCCTCACAATGTGTAATGCAGAATGTCTTATACAGATGTATACTGTTTAAACATAGGTACCCTCATAATGTGTAATGCAGAATGTCTTATACAGATGTATACTGTTTAGACGGTGGTATCCTCACAATATGTAATGCAGAATGTCTTATACAGATGTATACTGTTTAAACATAGGTACCCTCATAATGTGTAATGCAGAATGTCTTATACAGATGTATACTGTTTAGACGGTGGTATCCTCACAATGTGTAATGCAGAATGTCTTATACAGATGTATACTGTTTAGACGGTGGTATCCTCATAATGTGTAATGCAGAATGTCTTATACAGATGTATACTGTTTAGACGGTGGTATCCTCATAATGTGTAATGCAGAATGTCTTATACAGATGTATACTGTTTAGACGGTGGTGTCCTCGCAATGTGTAATGCAGAATGTCTTATACAGATGTATACTGTTTAGACGGTGGTATCCTCGCAATGTGTAATGCAGAATGTCTTATACAGATGTATACTGTTTAGACGGTGTTATCCTCACAATGTGTAATGCTGAATGTCTTATACAGGTGTATACTGTTTAAACATAGGTACCCTCATAATGTATAATGCAGAATGTCTTATACAGATGTATACTTTCAGACGATGGTATCCTCACAATGTGTAATGTAGAATGTCTTTTACAGTTGTATACTGTTTAGACAGAGGTACCGTCAGAATGTGTAATGCAGATTATCTTATACGGATGTATATTGTTTAGACGGTGGTATCCTCACAATGTGTAATTCTAAATTTCTTAAACAGATGTATAAATTTACACGGAGTTATCCTCACATTTTGTAATGCAGAATGTCTTATACAGATGTATTCTGTTTAGACGGTGGTATCCTCACAATGTGAAATGCAGAATGTATTATACAGATGTATACTTTCAAACGGTGGTATCCTCACAATGTTTAATGCAGAATGTCTTATACAGATGTATTCTGTTTAGACGGTGATATACTCACAATGTGTAATGCAGAACGTTTTATACAGATCTATAGATGAGTTGCAGATCCGCAATGACTCAGCAATAACCATAGTAACCCACGCGCAGAACAGGAACTTCCGAGCATGCGTACTTCGCTGTGCGGCAAAAACGCACGGAAGTGCCCTACGTTTTTTCCGCCACAGATCAACGTCACTCCAGCAATTCTATTGTATCATTTCTCCGTACCAAATGCCTGCCAGTTGCTGCGCTATCGGCTGCAGTAATCGTGGGGATGGGGAAAATCACCATAAATTCTTTCGAATTCCGAAAGAGGAAGATGCTCGTAAGAAATGGATTTTTGCCATTCGCCAACACCAACCAAATTTTCCCCGCATTTGCAACGAGCATTTTCAGAAAGGTATGGCAATATATATATATTTTATCTTTTGACTTGATGGTACATTCTTTTCGTCATCTAAAAGGTAGATATTTTCATAAAATGAAGGTCTGGTAACAAAATTTATTTTGTCATGACCTAGATCATATGACACATTGGCGTTCAAACTGACGTGAAGGGAAGTAACTCCAAAGTTGGTATCTCATAAACATCTTTGCTAGCTGGGCCCGTGGCTACGGTAGAGTGTTAGGAACTGAAGAACATTATGTATAATTGTAGTTAACTTATGTTTGTTATGACGCAGCTTTAATTACATTTAATCAATTCTTTTATAAACACTAACAACAATGACCTACTGTTTTTGGTTGCCTAATAGATCAAGGTCGGGTAGATATCTAAATGGATTTTTATATTGATCTACCTGGTATTTTAGAATTAAATGTACGTTTGTCTTAAGACTTTCTTATAAATTGTGCATTTTCTTTTACTTGCAAAGGTCGTCCCTCAAAGGATCCAAATGATGCGGACTATGTGCCAAGTCTGTTTTCCTTCAAAACAGAGAATGCTGCTACCACAAAACAGAGAATAAACAGGCAGAACCGTTTGAAAGAGAGGCAAGAGAACGTTCAGCGCAGTGTAGCTGCATCAGCTCTTCTGTCTATTGCTAGTGTAAGTTCTCACTGATGTATTACTTTCATGGAATACCATATGCCTTTTAGTTTAGTGTAAGTAAAATTATACTTTACATACTATAGTAATCTTCCAGGTAGGGGCCTTGTGCTTTTAGCTCCTAAATTTGAAAAAAACAACACATTTTCAAATATAATGGGACATTTTAACATTGTGCTGTACGGGCCAGTGTGGTTGTACCTCTGGTTATTTGAAATTTTCACATAAGGGCCCATTTCTTGAACATGTTGAAGATAATTTTGTAATGTTTAAATTAAAAATACACATATTATGTTAAAAAAATACAATTGTAAATTATGTTGTTTTTGTCAACAAATATTTGATTGTAAAAGACAGTATGTGTATCACAAAAGAGTTTGATAATGTGCATAATTACAAAGCATGTCTGTGCTAAGTTGTAAAGACTTATATTGTTTCTGCAGATTGATGATGATAACAGCCCTGTCAGTGTGAGTGTCCAGACTGATCCAATGATGACAGCTCGATCTTGCTATCCTGCATCATCGCAGACTAACATACAGAACCGCGAGATGGAAGACCTGCTTTCCTGGAAAGAATATGCCTTGCATCTTGAGATGACCAACCGTGTCCAGGAGAAGTACATCAGCACATTGGAAAAGCAAGTTGACCTCACAAAGACCCTAGTTCAGTCCTTACAAGTTGACATATGTTAATTGAAGAAAACTGCATCAGAGCTTAAAGGGGCACTGATCTAACGGACTGGTTGTTGCCTTTGTTATTGTTTTTCCCCCGTGAGTACCCGGATGATACGCAACGCAACTGAGCGTGACCAGAGACTGGGGTACCGTCTGCAAGGACAGCTAAATAAACTTGGAGGCTGGAGGCAATATTTGTTTTACGCATTTTTGAACACTGATTGGTTAACTGTGATCTATAAAGATTTCGACAAAGGGCGCATGTTAATTCATTTCTTCAGCCTAAACAAACAGACAAAAAGAACAAGGGAGCTCATCGGATGTCGTCATTTGGAAATACCCCAGATGGTTATATTTTAATACTAAAAACAGTATCCATGCAGTGAAAGCATTTTCGGATTTCGGCTTGCGTCGATAATACGATTACTACTCCCTTGTTGTCATCCACGTTTTCTCGTATAACCCTACACTTGTGTATTTGTCGTCATTCACTTGATGCTCAGTTAATGAATTTATTACAGGTACAATTAGTGGTAGCACCACTTATATTACCTGACAAAGGTTCCCATTTGGCATTTATTGTGTCTGGGGTAATTATTCAATCTAAATCCAGGTTTGAAGTGAGGTGAAATGTGTGTTATGTAATATGCACGTGGCAGCCCAGCAAGAGATGAATGATCAGTTGATTTACTTTTTTTTGTAAATCAACGGATCGTTCCTAGTCATCAAAGGATTAACAGAAAATACGTTGATTGATTAATCACTGTGATCTTGCACAGTGGATATGTCAAGAGTGAGTGTTTACATGTCTAGGTTTACTAAAACAAAGGGAATACACTCATATCATGGCGCGAATTGCCGATGTAAAAAGAACATACTTTGTTCAAAGGGTTAACTGATAATACGTTGATTGATTGAAAATACCAGAGTATGCTGCATGAAGAACATTAAAAAAACTAATGACAAACAGTTGTCATTTTATACAGGTCTACAGAATGTTAGTGTATTTATGGACATTTGCAGCGAGACTTCTCATCATGTCAATAGGAAGAAGAACAAGCTTTCTGATGAGGATGAACTCCTCCTAACTCTGATGAAATTGAGGAAGAATTTATGCATGCAGGACTTGGCATACAGGTTTGGTATATCTAAGTCATCGGCTACGAGGATCTTTCACGCATGGCTTGATGTACTGTACATCCACCTTGGAAGACTAGTGATGTGGCCTGATACTATTGAAATGCACCTACCCAAGTGTTTCCGCAACAAGATTTTCAGAAGAGTAAGATGCATCATTGACTGTACAGAAATCTTCATCGAGAGAGCCAGTAACAACAAAGCCAGATCCCAGACTTACTCAAGGTACAAGCAGCACAACACAGTGAAGTTCCTTATTGGTATCAGTCCATCAGGAGCCATCATCTTTCTGTCCCCTGTATGGGGTGGACGAGCCAGTGACAAGACCATAACTCTTACAAGTGGCATCATTGACAAGTTTGTGCCAGGTACACATGAAACAATGGTATTTGTAAAATAATTTGTATATATGCTTTATTTCCTGATATAGTTTTATTCGCGAGGAAATTGGTATTTTATCAATGAAGCGTTGAATCAGGGCTGCATATAGATAGTTTTAGCTAGAGACATTTTTATTAAGATTTCATAAAATAATTAGTGCAAATGTTCCAAGGAATCTTAAATATATTTTGATTACATTCTTGGCATAGTACATTTTGAAAATATGATGTGTATTTGTGCATGTATAGTGAGTGAGTATGGTTTTACGCCGCTTTTTGCAATATTCCAGCAATATCACGGCGGGGGACACCAGAAATGGGCTTCACACATTGTACCCATGTCGGGAATCGAATCCGGGTCTTCTGCGTGACGAGCGAACGCTTTTAACCACTAGGCTACCCGACCGCCCCTGTGCATGTATAAATGTAGGCAGTAATTATTATATAACTAAAAGTGGTATACATTTCTACAGGTGATGTTGTTCTGGCTGACAGGGGCTTTTTCATCGACACTGAATTAGCAACTCGAGGGGCACAGCTTATGGTACCAGGGTCATGTCCCATTAGTCATACGCCCATTTGTCATACTCCCAATAGATATAAAGCAAAAGAGGGATTAGTTAAAACAACAATAGGCATATACCCTTTGGTCAAAATGGATTAGTCCACTAATTAGAAAGCTTGGGATTAGTTTAAATAAATACCTATGATGTTTTAGGAACAAGTACAGGATTCATCTCAAACTAATTTACTGTTCTTTACTGAGTTAAATCGAGTTTACTCAATTTAGTGAAAAAACACAAACTAGTACATAAAAGGGTCTATGTTTTAGACTCGAGCATATCACTCTTGTTATCATGGCAGGGTTGATTGAAGTGGAATATGTTACTTCTAGGCGAGGTACACAGCAGGTACTGTTTCAAGGTCCCCTTCACAACAAGAACTCTACAAAGGAACACTGTATCCACTGGAAGTGTGTCGTGAAAACTTGCCGTGTAAGAGTTACACCACTCCTGATAACCACGGCCCACAAGAACCTGACACTGTTAGATTTGTCAGTAACATGAGGAAGAGGGCAAGAGAAGAGATCACCCCGATGCCAACCCTGTACCAGGAAGCAGTTGCCCAACAAGATCCTGAAGTAGTACCAAGAAGATCCTGGGGTCAGACGCTGGGTGAGAAGAGCATCATCCCTGGCTCTGTTACCGGAAGCTGACGTCCAAGATGCCTTGGTCGACGCCATTGACGATACGCCAGCACTAGACAACGCTCAGAGATTTAATGATTATATTGTAACAACTTGGGTTGGTGATGATGCTAGATTCCCCATCCCTCTATGGAATCACCACCGAAACATTGGACCTCGCACGAACAATAATCTGGAAGGCTTCCACTACCGACTGAACAAGTCTCTGCCGCATCATCATCAAAACATTTATCGTTTTGTTGAACTGATCAAGCAGTTTGAGAAGTCTGAATCTGCCAAGATGCGTCAAATTGACTTTGGTGCTGCTCCCCAAGGCAGAAAGCGAGTGTATCGTGAGAAGGAAAACCGACTCATCAGATTGTGGGACCAACACCAAGTAGGCCAGAAAAACTGTGTTCAGTTTCTGGATGCTGCTGGTTATCTGTATCCAACTGACCACTAAATGTGAAACTGAAAACTCAAAATGTTAATGTGATCCCGCGTTAATGATAATTTAACTTACAGTGATTACTTAATGTGATTATTTATGTATATATGTCATATAAGATTATAGGTCATTGATGATGATATGTGCTATGATGAATATATATGCTATGCTGAGGAGTATTAAAAGATTATTACATGTTGTAATTTTGTGTTTCTTGGATCATTCCACTTTAATTGTGGGTATTACAAAGGAAGTTGTTGGTGCAGTCAACCATACCATATGTTGTTTTAACCCGTATGACTAATGGGCCGTATGACTAATGGGAGGACACCGGTACCAGCATACACAAAAGGCAAGAACCAGCTGTCAAGACAAGAAGTTGAAACATCCAGAGTATATTCCAATGTGCGGATACATGTAGAGCGAGTGATTAACCGTTTGAAAGACTGGGGTGTGATGAAAGGTCCTCTTGTCAAGAAAGCGAACACTTCAGCAGAGACCACTGTTGGAAAGATGGTTCAAGTATGCGCAGCTCTTGTGAACCTGTGTCCTCCAATACTAGAATAGTGGTCTACATAGTATACATGTATATAACCTAAGTATTGGTTATGAAGTTGTGCTGAGTAGTAGATCAATTTCAGTTGACATGATAAACTAAATTGATCCTAGTACTACTGCTATGTTCTATATCCTTGTTCTGCTAAGTTAATTTTGAACAAGTAGATGTTAAATTACCGGTACATGGTAAACACTTTTTGATACAAAATAAAGGAACTGTTGATGTTATCAACATTTATTAATGTACAGATATATTCAGCTTTTTGTCTTAATATTTCATTTATCATTACAGGTGAATTATATACGCATTGAAGCACATGTAACACGTGTGGCGTCTCCTTGGGCAAGTGACTTTGTTTGAAATGTGCCTCTCTTCACCTAGCAGTGAATGGTTACCCGATAGGATGAGATGACAACGTGTTTGTTAACCTTCTATCGCCTAAAAGGCAGCTTGGGTTGTATACTGTAAACAGGGATTTTTTTGCGACCGTTTTATTATTGAGAGTTTTGCGAACGAGACTCAATCGCAAAAATTAAAAACGCAAAAATAAGTATAAATAATACATACATACTTTATTCATTGCAACACGTCATCAAACGTTGAAATCTTCAACCAGAACCACAAGTTACTCAATAAGTTAAAAACACAAATGAATGCAGAATGGTCCCACGATACATCACAAATGACAGTGTTAACAGACCAATTAGTGTCACTGTTACCTCACAGTAATCAATTATCAATTATCAACACATCAACTCGCAAAAATATCTCGTCGCAGTATTGTCTTTGGTGTGGTATTCGGAATATTTTAACGGCAAAGAAATAAAGCTCTTACAGTACTCCCCAGGTAGCTGAGAATGAATCTTGAGTGCACATTGACCCAGTGACCAGGGTAATAGCGCTTTGAGCATGCCCCTGAGTGTGGTGGAAACGTGTGCAATATAAATAGCATATTATTATTATAATTATTTATCACATATAAACAAACTAAGATATGAGGTGTTTATATTTGCTGCATATCACTCTTTCCACACAAGTGCTACAACTTAAGTGCTTCCAAACATAATTATTGATGTGTAATGTGTAACAATAAGTTCATGAACAACTGAACATGATGTAGACAAATGGTAACAAAATTAATTGATGAACTTTGAGATTTAATTTAGTGTACTTTGGCTTTGTAGGGTACTATAAATGGACAGTAACATTAAAAATGCATTTATGTACATTTGTTTGTTTGTTGTTTAACTCTGCAATCAGTAATATTTTAGCTATATGACAGCTGTCTGTAAATAATTGAGTCTGGACCAGACAATCCAGTGATTGACATCATAAGCATCGATCCACACAATTGGGATATGATGACACAGTTCGAACAAATCAGCGAGCCTGACCACCCGATCCCGTTTGTCGCCTCTTACCACAAGCATTGATGTACATACATTGCATTGTATTATTCATACTTTATCACTGGACAAAATATCATCCATTCCAAAAAATCCAAAACTTGGAAATACCACCATTCCAATTGGAAATATGACCATTCCAATATTTGGCAAGGTCATATTTCCAAGCTTGGATTTGTTTGGATTTGTTTGGAAATGTTTGGAAATATTTGGATACAACATGTCATAATCATATATGTTAAACGTTTTACAACTTTTGACCTTATGTGAGATTAGTAATGACATGAAAGTAAATAATTTGAGGTATTTGGCACTATGTACCATGAAAAGTCCAAATCATGAGCAAATTTAACTAAAAGAAATTCTGTCATTTAAAGTGGCTACTCTTTATATTTAATTTCTTATCTTCCTTGTCTATAATCATATGACATTGACTATGAACTTTGAACAATTAAACAAATATTTTGTTTTCCCATACCGACTTACGGTTGTCGTAGAACAAAGACCGTTTCGAGAATATAGAGGGCCTCATTATTATAATTTGAACTTATATACATATGTACATAATAGTACTAGGTATAAATGAATGTTGATAAGTGTTCGTACAAGAATATGAACTTCGAATTATCTCGGAATTATGCGCAACACATAGGGCTGGAAATTTTATAATTGGTCTGGAACTATCTGACGGTAATTCAAAACAGGGAACAAGATTTCGTCAAATGAATCATTGAGCCAGGAATGCAACGATTTAAATGCTGACAAAATGAGTAAACATATCTGGAACAGAGTAGACTGTTCATGCGGACAATTATATGCTACGTCTATTGCCAATGAAGTTTATCACCCCATGTTATAGAATTTGTTTCATATAAAAAATAGAAGCCAAATAAATGGGACAATTAGTTGTTATGAATTAGCTTTACCTCTGTGACATATCACGCAACTAAATGTGAATATGTTTATCAAATAATTAATTACAGTAATTAACCTAGTGTCCTTATTTATACACAATTTAATTACGTATTGGGGTACAATATATAATACACATATACACGGAATGATATCTTATTTTGTCAATTTAATCATAACACAAATCATACAAATCAAAATGTGAAAGTAGTGACTAACATTATGATCAAGGGTATAAATACTCAATTGTATCTATTAATCCTAATAGTATAACAATAAACCCTGTGTATATACTGAGCATATTTAGATACATCCGGATCTACGACCGCAGCCATATAATCAATCAAGGAAAGTATATTAGATTGAATTACAAATGCGCTATCACTTAAACAAAATTTTCCGTTACCCACGTAAGCCTTAAACCTTGGAGAAATAAAGTTCTGTTCTGTTCTGAAGACGCCGTCATGCACAGGACCAAGGAGCGTCCATTCCAATTTGGAATGAACGTTGGATTGCTTTGGAAAGTTCGCTCATTCCAAACTTTCCAAAGCTTGGAAGGATCGATCTTTCCAGAAAATCCAAAATTGGATTGGCAACATTTCCAAACATATTTCCAACACAGGAAATGTTTGGAATGACTTGGAATGGTTTGTAATTGTTTGGAAATATGGTTAGAAGGAACAAGTTAAAATATGTTTTATTAGTAATCTGAACAATAAAAAGACTATGAATTATTTATTGAGTTTAAACTATATATAATAAATATTAAATTTATCTCAAACATTCACTGCTTGTCTGTCTAGCGAGGGGCCTTTCCCTAAGGTCGCATTCTCCCTAAGGTGAGAGAGAGACCCGCACTTGACTCGACAAGACACTAATAGGTCTCAAGATTAAGTATTCGGCTGGATGGCAGCTGCCATTTAATTACAAAACAGACAGTCGTCTAGACGGCTCACATGTAAGTGCGCCGACATGTGCCTAAGATCATAAAATGGACAATCTTTGGTAACATCTAAAAACAACAATAAAATCCTAATTCTCACCGACTTCCTTAGTGGACTACAAGCCCTCCAAAACAAAAATACCAAAAAACGACCTAAATTAATAAACCAAATACTTAAAAGCTCCAACGACCTAACAAAAGCAGGCAAACAAATAACCTTCTTGTGGATCCCCGCCCACGTAGGAATTTACGGCAACGAAAGCGCCGATAAAGCAGCTAAATTATCTCTCAAAATACCAGAAATAAGCCTAAACCTACCCATCTCAAAATCAGAAATTAAAAGTGTTAACTAACAAAAAATAACCAAAAAATGGCATAATCAATATCAAAACTCAAATAGCCAAATCAAAAAAGTGCTCAGAAAACCACTAGCCAAACCTAAAATCCTACACCTCTCAAAAAAAATTGACAGATCAATTACAAAACTCCAAACAGGACACACTAACCTAAATAACCACCTAAAAAAACTTAAAAGGCACACCACAGGCAACTGCCCCCACTGCAAACAACCCGAAACCACAGAACACGCACTCATCCACTGCACCCACTACAAAACACACAGAACCAAACTACAAACCACCCTCAATCTAAATAAGGTTCCTACTCTAGATGAAATACTAAACCCTCAAAATAAACTAGAAAACTTCAAGGCCCTAGGCGTATTCCTAATCAAAACAGACCTAATTAAGCGCATCTAAAAGC